TTTTTTTTTTTTTTTACTTTTGCTTGTGTTACTTTTAATGTATCAAAAGTCAAACAGAAAAGGAGCAAAGAAAATCCTCTCCTCCCAGATTTAGCAGACAGCTGGTTTTGGGATCTATTCCGCCTCTGTATTGTTCTAGCTATGTGAACCTCTGAGCAAAGTAATATTCAGAGCCTCAGTTTCCCATCAGAAAGAGAGATGATGATGATTTCCTATGGTCCTGGCTTCTTTTTCCTTTTTTTCTTAAAGGAAATGACACCGCTGCTGAAGAAGCCAAAGTGTAATCAGGACCGGAACAGGTAAGGAGGGCCACTGCTGTCCCCTGCATCACACTGCTGAGGAGGAGGCAAGACTCCTTGAGTCTGAGTTTAGCGGTTAGCAAACAAATGCTCCATGCAAAAGTGGGCAGGAAGTCTGGAGCTGCATTCATATCCAGGTCTAATAACTTGAGATGACATAAATATACCAGATAATTTAGGATGTTAGGGTATAGCTTGGACGTGTGAAAGTGAGGCACAGGGGTGGGTAAGCGGACTGTCCTGAGAGCCGTGCAACACTAGGGTGGGAAGACTTAGAATGGCGACGTCTTATGTTCATAATCATTTTCCATAACCCATTCCGTTAAGCTGTGGGTAGCACAGCACTGTGGGTCTTGGGTGACCACTCTTCTCTTCTGTAGCAGAACAGGAAGCCTTACGTCTTGCAACCCTCCCCATCCCACGAAGATGGATGTCGTCATCACATAGGAAGAATCAACAAATGACCGTGAAGGAAGTCATCGACGATCAGAGCTGAGGGACATATAGATATTTGGAAAAGGTTCAGTGTTGCTTGTTTTTCTGGCTGGCTACTGTAAGCACCTTTGCTTGTAATTCCAAAGAAGCACATTGGTAACTTCTACAGCCTTTTAATATTAAAGAGATTTTAAAATCTCCTACACACCAAAGCCAATAACGAAACTGTAGAGGACAGACCACCAACCAGGAAATCTAGAATCAGATTACATCTACATCAGAAGCCAAACAAGAATTTCTCCTCTTCTTGGATTCACCTTCGCCCAGCCCTGGGGCTACAGTATGGATCTTGACTGCTCCTCAGAAGCCCTTAAGTTAAAAGGTCGTCCCCCTGCAGGTGGCACTACTAGGAGGTGGTGGAGCCTTTGGGATGTAAGTGATCTTGAGGTCAGCAGGGGTTTGCCTTTCACGATATTAAGATTCAGGCTCCTTCTTGTCTCTTTCAGTTCCTGAGCAGGAGTTGAATGTTCTTGTTCAGCTAGGCATTTCCAACATGCTAGGCCTCTTACAGGCCTCAAGCAATAGTGGACTGGAATGTTTACAACTGTGAGCCAGAATAAAAGTGTTCTATGAAGAAGGTGACTATTCCTGGTTTTTGTGTTAGTAACCCAGAGCTGACTGATGCACCTGGATTCAGATGGGCACCAGAAATCCTGGAAGGCTGAAAGCTCAGTTCTTGCTTTTATGACTTGTAGGAAAATGGGCATGTCACTCCCTGATATGTCTCCATAAACACCAGAAGGGGTGTCTGTGCACTTGCTGGGTTTGGGGATGATTAAGACCCTGTTCCTTTTCCATTCTCAGCCTAGTACCAGATTGTTTAAAATGAGGTTAGAAAAAAAGACCCTGCTACATTTGAGAAGGTGGTGACGTGGCAAAGGAGTAAGTCTCCAGGCATAACAAGATCTGAAACCACGTCCCATCACCACAGTGGCCTGGATGCCTCACGGTCTGGTCTTGAATCACACTTGTCTGGACAGCAACACCAGCAGAGAGGAAACATGGAGGCCAGCAGAAAGGCAGCTAATGGCAGGTGCTCTACAAATACACATTCCTTGAACTCCTCCTTGGAAGGGCTGCCTCCACTCCACACACTTTCACAGACAGCCTCAGCGGCACCTGCAGGGGCCAGGCTGTCCCCGGATGAGTAAGTACCCTGTACCTCGTCTTGAGCAGGGCAGAATGACTCTGCAGTGGGAGATCCTTGGAGCCCTGCTGAAGGTTGCTGTGCTGGGTCTGTTCGTGTCTTTGGGCATCACAGCAGCCAGCCTTCCTAGGTCCTCTGCCTCGGGCACATTTAGCTCAATTGTGTGTGTGGGCTGTAGTCACTGGGCAGGACATTTTGGCATCCTTCCAATAGTCTGTTTTGGGGCCAGTACTGGACCGGGAATAGTAAAAAATAGCAGAAAGACCATCTTAAAGCTTAGTGAACCATCTGGGAAGTGGGAAGGAGTCATCACAAAGCATGACAGGAGGTAAGGTGGGAGGGGGCTCAGGATCTGGGCCGTTAATGTGCCCCAGCTGGGGGGCTTCATAGAGGTCTTTAGAGATCTCTCTGCACAGCCTTCCATATAAAAAGGGGATGGACCATCATCATTCGCTCCTGTGACATGAAAAGGAAGTGACTGGCAAGGAGGGTCCCGCAGATGATAAAGACAATGTCCCAAGATTGCCAGGGATGGTGCAGCCAGGGTCTAGAGGTAGAAGCTGAGTTGACTGCATTACATAAACTCACATGTCCACGATAGCCACCTCTGGGCTCACCTTCTTGTAAGGCACAACCGACACTAAGTCCCTGTCGTAAGTCTCCTCTCACAGGTGTAGCCACTACCGAGGGCTCACAGAGGCTGACTGCAGCACTGAGTAATATGGAAACGCCTGGTTGTCTCCTCACAATAAGCACTCCTTCAATAAGCACCTGCTCAGAGGTAGAAGCGCATGCATTCATCAATCCCTTCATAAGGACTATTAAAGCTTTATGCCAAATGTTAAAAATACAAACAAGACCAAGTCCCTGGGGTCAAACATTTGGTGCAAGTCGTAAGAGGGGCCAACAAGTAAAAAATGAGAGAACAGCATATAAAAAACAGATGCCCAGCCGGGGATTTAGCTCAGTGGTTCTGCCGCCTGCCTTGCAAGCACAAGAACCCAAGTTCGATCCCTGGTACAAACAAACAAACCAGATGCCCAAGCAGGATATGAAGGCCATGTGGAGGAAGGAAAAGACTAACTCCATAGGGGAGGGAAGAGTGCTGGTGGCGGTGGTAGCAATCAGACAAGGCTTCTAGGAGATTAGGACTTCTGGGATGGGCTCTGTAGGCTGCCCAGGAGTTAGTGGCTCACCAGTAACATGGTGTTCTGTGGCTCCAGAAAGAGCTCATGAATTGAAATAAATGGTTTTGGCATTCTGGGACTGTGATAGTAGCAGAAGTAGAAGAGGACACTGTTCCAACC